AGTGATGGATTAGTTGATATAACCTGTGAGTTAGAATCAAATGAGGAAAATAACATAGATCATTTGACATAATTTATTCTCAAATTGTTAGTATTGAGAAGCTAAGAAGAAATGGTAGAGTCTTAAGAACTTTGTTACCACAATTAGAATTTCCTGGTATCAATTTAGTGGCATTTACATTACATACATTATATTTACATTGTATTTAAATCCTTGATTATTGTAGTTGCATCATGATTGGGGCATGTATTTGTATCATGTAGAGAACATTTAAATCATAGTATGATATTTGCATTTATATAATTTAGTGATAATCTGGATTGTTGCATTTGTATCATTTCAAAAGCATTTGTATTATTATCATGACATTTGTTTCATACAAGAATTTGACCTTGGTGGGAGAAAATTTTTGACTTTTCAATCGTTGAACGAAGAAAATCTTTCATGATTAGATTTTTTTTTTTTTGACAAGGAAAACTTTCCAAACTTTTAAAGTTATAGAGCCTTGTTTAAAAGAACTTTTTTTTTTTGAAAAATACTCATAATTTGTAAGACTTCCTGACATAAATCACTAAAATCTTTTGAATGAGAATCTTTATAATTTTGGATTTGAATTTCTAAAATTTTTTTAATGTGAATATTTGAAATTTTGATGTGAAACCCTAAAATTTGTCAAATATGAATATTTGAAATTTTGGATTGTGAAACCCTAAATTTTTTTAAATGAGAATCTTTAAAATTTTGGATGTGAAATTCTAAAATTTTTTTAATGTGAATCCTTGAAATTTTGGATAAAAATCCTTAGGTTTTCGAATAAAAATCTTTAACTTTTGGGCGTGAATCCCTAAATTTTTTTGAATGAAAATCTTTGAAGTTTTGGGTGTGAATTTCTAAAATTTTTGAATAAGAATCTTTGAATTTTGGCTGTGAGCTTTGAAATATGCCATGTGAATCTCTAAATTTTTCAAATATTTAAATTTTGAATGTGAATCACTAACACAAAGCTTTTGAAAATGAATCTTTGAATGTTGTATATGAAATTACAGTTTGAAAATCTTTACAATGATAAAGTTGAATTTCTTGCGAATATAAAATTTTTTTAAGCTTTAAATTCTTGCAAATCTAAAAATTCTTGTAAAACTAATTTTTTGTGAATCTGAAAATTCTTACAAATTTGAAATTCTTGCAAATATGAAATTCTTGTGAGCTTGAAGTTCTTACGAATATGAAATTCTTGTGAACCTAAAGTTCCTTCGAAACTAAAATTCTTGCAAATTTGAGTTCTTATGAATATCAAATTCTTACGAATCCAAAAATCTTGCAAATCTTTCATTCTTGCGAATTTAAAAGTCTTGCAAATATTTTTGTCTTGTGAATCTTTGTCTTGCAAATCTTTAATTTCTTATGAATCTTTGAATCTTTGAATCCTTGTGAAACTTTAAAATTTTATGAACTTTTAACCTTGAATTTTCAAATTGTGAATCTTTGGATCTCAGATTAAAAATTTTAAATTTTTCTTAACCCAAGTAAAATGGATGTCTTTTGACATATCTTATTTAAAGTTTTCAAAGTTGTTTAGCATCTATATAAAGGAGCCCATCTTTTAATTTAAAGTTGTTTAGCCTCTGTATAGAGGAGTCCATTTAAAAAAAAATTGTTGAGTCTTTATTTAGGAGTCTATTTTTTTATTCATTTTATAAGTTGCATGCCTCATTTAGATCCTTGAGTTGAACCGAATACAATCGGTTCTATATCTTTGCATAATTCTTATTTCATAGAAACTATGCAAAGAGGGGTAGTCATAGACACCTCATTTTGTTTAAGAATTTTTTCGAAATTGAAAGCAGGCCTTCGACCATAAAATGGGTTTGATTGGGAAACATTAGGCCTAATAAGATAAAAGCCCAAAAATTTTTAATTGTAATTTGATTTTAATTTTAATCTTGATCTTGATTTTAATAGTAATTTTCATTTAGATTTAGATTGTTTAATTTAGTTTTAATTTTAATTTTTTTAAAAAAATGAAAAAAAAAATTCAAAGTCAAAAAATCAAAAAAATATTTAAAAAAAGCTAAAAAAGTCAAGGATTATTGTTAAGGAAACCACAGATTCATGCATAATCAAATTCTAGAAATTAATAGCACAATCAAATCAAATCACAAAGAATTCACAAAATCAAATCACAAAAAATTTGGTTGAATTAAAGGTATTTAATCCTTGTAAACAAAACACAAAACACACAATTGGGAGGCATATTCTTGGCAAGAAACAATTCAAAGTAGTTGAAAGTTTTTTTGGTTTTTGGCCTCAATTTTGGGTTGATTCTCTGGGGAAATTAGGACCATACAAAATGTTATAGGTTTGGATCTTCATTGGGGAATTCATTTTTTTATGGAATTAGGTTTTGATCTTTGAAATTTATGGGATTTGGTGAAATTGTGATTTTTGGGCTTGTTAGAGTTTTTTGGAAGTTAGTGTTTTGATTCTCAATTTGTAGTTTGAATTATGGTTTTGGTAATTTTTAGAGTCTTAAGATTTGAAGTTTTGATTTATGGGTTTAGGTATGGGATTTTCATGTTGGATTTTGGTTTTCAGATTTGATTTTAGAATTGTTTTGAGTTTGGGCTGTTTTGAGAATTTTTGGTTTATATTTTTGGATATAATTTAAATTTTTGGGTTTGGTTTAAATTTTTAAGTTTCTTATGAACTTTTCATTGAAGATTTGAACATTTCAATAGGTTTTGGGGTTTTTCGGTGAGATTAACGGTGGCTAAAAGAATTTTTTAGTGACAAATTTCTAGGTTCATGCAATTCTCCTAAAAAGTTTGAATATTCCAGTTAGTTGGAATCTTAGGTTCATCAGGGTTGGTTGAATTTCATAGCATGTTTGTTTTAGAGGGAAGTTAGACAAAATTAGTTAGAAAGAGAAAGGGCCTAAGGCAATCTGAGAAAATAACCAAAACTTTGTCTTTTATACAGGAGCAATACGATGTCATTTTGCAAAGCTAGGATCTGCGTCCAACCCAAGTGGATCTGTATGTGAACCCATTTGGTGACCTGATCCAGTTACAGGTTTTCCTTTTTCTATTCTTTGAATGGGTATTGTGAGGGTGTTATAACATTTTTTCTGTGTAACCACACTCTCAAACTTAAAATCTAGTTTCGTGGATTAGAATTTACTTTTTAAAAATACTTGAATCAAGTTTGTGACTCATTTTTAAAATGATACAAATTCAGTTAGGTAGTCAATCGCATCTAAATAAAAAAGATTGGTGGTGATTTCTAAATTTATATCTAGCGGTAAGTCTACAGATTTATATATTATGACAAATCATAAAAAAAAAAAAAAATTTCACACTCAATTATCCTAAAAAACAAAGAGAATTACTGTCATGATAAAAGTGAAGTGAAGCCTAATAAAGAAAACATGTAGCATCGCTCAAATACTAAAGTACTTTAGTATTTGAGAATATAGAAAACTGAGGTAACTAGCATTTAGATAGTTTTGTACAATCAAACTCAATTGCCATTTTCCCACTATAAAATCAATTTTCTTTCCTGTCTCTCTCTCATCAAATTCTACTCTCAAACCCAATAAAATTTCTCAAATACTAAAGTACTATTAAATAAGCATCTAGGTGTTGAAAAAGAGCTTGATTATTATGATTGTTAGAAAAAAAAAGTCAAAACTATATAAATAAAGGATCATTTTAGCCGATCCCCGTTGAAATATTTGCCCTAAACTATGTTTCAAACAAAGTCATCTCCAAACCTCTATTGCCCATGAATATTATTATTCTTATTATTTTTAATTTGTCACCTCACTTTATATCATCATCATCAATTGAGGAAAGACAACTAAATAAAATACAATAATTATCAAAAAATTATTGAGAAAAACAAAGTTATACCACACTTACATTCTTCTTCCATAGGACCAAACCAGACCAATTAGCAAGTGTATATTTATTGAAGAGTATTTCAAGATGCCAATAAAAACAATCAAAGAATAGAAAAGAATTTAAAAGAAAAAAGTTATAAAGAACTATTGCTTACTCTATAGTTGTTATATTCCTCCTTAACTTTCAATTGGATGTTTTTAAGGGATGCATGCATATTGATTAGTCCAATAAATATTTTCAAAAATTTTCCTCCATAATCATTTGTTTCTGTGCCCCGCTTTCCATTCTTTTAGCCTAATCAATATAATCAACTAAGGCTTGTTGCCAGCAAAAAAATGGACCCAAATCCAAAAACAAAATGTTCGATTTCAAAAGCTATGTAATCAACTAGCTTTAGCTAGTTTTCTTAACCTAAAAGGATTGATAGAATGGTCCTAACCACATCATGCACAATGGTCCAAAGAGCTATATTCTAATTTGCTATCATAAAGAATAACCCAACAAGTCTATTTTCGAGCCCTACAATGATTGACTTTCTACTTGAAATTTGTCTAAAAAACTATCAAATCCAAGGAGGGTAACCTTCTGAGAAAAGTTTCAATCCCTAATTTTTAACTCATGATTGAAGATTGTAGGAAATTTAAAACCCATTAATGTTTTAGAAATTTGAACAAATGTGATGCCTCAATCTTATGAATGCCTTACATGGCAAGAAAACTAAAAAATTAATAATTAAAGGTAGGTGCAAGTGTAGATTAAATGTAGTTGCATGCCATCATTTAACTATAACAAGTACCAACTTTGTTTTCCCATAATGAAGTGACTTGTATGAAGAAGACATGTAACAATAGAAGCTTTTAACGGTTTTTTACCTTGGCAAAAAACTCCAAAATCTTGCAAACAATGGGACAATGACTATAGTTCTCAACTAAGTAGACAACAACCATCTTCAAGGGTTAGCTAAAGGATAATGTGGTAGAAAATAAATCTCTCAATGCAGAACAAGGCAAAAATGAAAGAGACACGTAGCTTCTATGAGCTAAATAGTTAAAAGGCAACTAAGTAACTAGCTCAAAGGCATCGGTAGGAGAAAATTACCTTGCACTGCTAGCTTTCCATTTGTCAGTGAACAAGGCATCCATGCTAACATATAGGAATATAAATGTTTCTGCAATGAATGAAATTGTTGCAAATACATACCTGAAATCATCAACCAATATAAAGACTAAGTGTTAAAACACGTAAAAAGGAAATCCATCAAAATCATTCACAGCTAAGCATGGAATCAACATCTATTTATAGCATTTTAATGGTGAATGCTTTTACTTTGTTGTTATCCTCTAGCTTTCAATAATAGTATGCCTTGTATAGTGTGACATGATAATGTCACAAAAGAAAACTATCAAAATCCCACTCAGACTCAATAGCTGCAAGAAGAAAGTAAGTTTACTACATCTAACAAATGCAGTGCCCAAGTTATGAATTTTTTATGGTAATTTCATTGTTTTTTTTTTTCTTTCTAGAAATGAAGAAGCAAAGGAAATAGAATTAAGGAATACTTTTGAGATTCTTTTATTATACCTTAGCCAACATATATGACAAATAAACCATGATCGTCATGAGAGTAACTTCTCAGTCTATTGAATGCTTATATTTTAAGAACAGAAAACCATTGCTCGTAAATTGTCTTGAAGAAATATTAGTAACAAATACATCAACAAACGGTTGAAAATTCAGATTTAAAAACTCAATCCATGCATGGCACATTTAGCTTACATTGACCTCAAAACCCCATTTCAAGAAAACTCATCTTCATTGACAAATTTATTCACGGAAACCTAATTCTTGAATCACTCCAAAAACCACTGAATTTCAATCAAACTATGAACACAAACATTCCAACATGAAATAATAAAGCACATTCAATAAACTTTAAAATAGATAAAATAGACAACTCAAAGTACCTAAATTAGAAAATCCTAGCCAATAAATAAATAAATAAACAGTACCCAAATAAGAAAAGAAGCTTACCAATCTTCCTCTTGGATCAAAGACTCAAACCCAAGTGGTTAATATCAAGACTAACGATTGAGAGATATAGTGAATATAGATAGATACAGAAGAAAAGAGAAAGGTTAGAGGGCTTTATTTCTTCAAGTTCCTTTTGGTAATTTTTCAACTGCCAAATAGCTAGACATCATAATTACAATTTAAGAGCAAAAAAAAATTGAAAAAGGTTCCTTGAAACCATAAGATTTGAAAACATAATAAGAATTAGATAATTACGGTCCCTAACACTTGAGTGCAGCAAGATCAAAAGCTCTTGTAGCTTTCTTTCCCATGTCATAACCCCCTAAAATTAAGATTTTGGATTACTAGTTATTTAAAACATGACAAGATCATTCATAATATACTTGACTATTATTAATAATGGCAGAAGTGCTTACCTAAATAAACTGATAGTGATCATTTTATTAGAATCATCCCCCAGATAAGAAAAAAATATATATCAGTAGGATATAAAAAATGAGTCAGGTCAAGAACAAAAAAGTACAAAAAATAGAGGGTATATTATTGCAGGAGGTTATTTTTTCAACACTAACCTTGTTTTCCTTTCCTACTCTACCCTTTTTTCTTGCAACTGTTGTCCCACAGATGGGCGTCATACCTTCCCGTCCATCTGTGTCTGAGTAATAGAAACCAGAAGATTAATAAAAAAAAAAAACACTACAAAGAAAAAGAAATTTGCTTAAAAAATTAATAAAAAAGGAAGCCAAAATCAAAACATTGAGAAGTAGAATGCAAGAAAGAGCCAGATAAAAACTTTCATTTGTAAAGAAAGGTAATCTTTTTAATTGGCAGCACATGAGAGATAAAGGGAACAGGAAAGTTAGCTCCCTTCTCTCTCTCTCTCTTTCTCTTTCTCTCCTTCCCCTCCCCACTGTCACGATTTTTATTTAATTCTAAACTTCTTTTTAGAAGTAAACTGATTAGTGAATCCTAGCAAAATTTATAATTTTGATCAAAGCATAGAGAGCATTGTCATCATTTAATTGAAGCATCAGGGGCATTATAGCGCTAACAAAAATACTAAACCCCAATAAACTATAGCATAAATGATTCAGAAGGATTTTTAACTCACAATTATAACTCCAGCTGGATGAATCCACCAGCGAAAATGAATAGCTAGAATGGCTGTCGCTAAACCCAGTGAATTACTAATCACATCAAAGAAATGATCTTGTGCATAGGCTCTAACGATTTCATTTTTAAATTGTCATCAATAGACCATATGGGGCGAGCTTCACTACTGTCACGAAAACCATAATTCCAATCATCCATTTCTCTAGCTTGTGATTGATTTCAGGGTAGGACTATAGCCATAAAAGGAACAAAATACTAAATGAGTAAAAAAGCTGTGGCCATACCAAAATGATTAAAGAAACTAATGATAATTTTATGTAAATACAGCACTTAAAAGTTGTCACGTTTAACTGAATCAAAGTAGCATACATTTGCAATAAGTTCCCTGACAGACTCCAGCAATATTTGTAATCCTAAAGTTGCCATTACTTAAGCTACACAATGACACCCTAGATTGTCAAGCTTGGTTAGTAGATATTTGTTGTAAATGGAGAGAGATACCAATTTCATTGAAAAATCTACCCAAGAGTTGAAAAGAAAAGCCATCTGAAAAAAAATTACTGTGAAGCTTAGATCAACAAAAGATGATCTCTTAAATTAATCATAACCTTATATTAAACTGGAGTGGAGACCACTAAAATAACTTACCACTTGTTGCATTTGTTTTTTTTTTTTTTTTTCAAAATGAGATAGAAGCAGAAAGAACAGTGACAAAAAGTTTGGCCTCATTAAAGTTTGACAAAAAAGGTACATATTATCATTATATTCCAAGTCGTGGTATCGGATTCTTCAAGTGGCAAAGGAAGGCTTATATTAACAGGAAATGTGAAACCCTAAAAGCCCTAATGCGACATTAAGCGAAAATTGCGAAAAGTCAAAACAAAAAAAAAATAGAGGAATATAGAGATACTTGGGAAGGGATGTGGAGATCGAGCATGCAAAGTCTACGATCTTGCATGTGCTTTCTTCAATGTGTCATGGTAGAGGCGCGACGTTAACCGAAATCATGATACGGAAGCCTCGACTCCATCAATCATGCGTTCCTTACTAACATCTGCCCACACCATCGCTCCTATAATCTTCGTCTTTTTCTCCGCCGCTTTGCTTCTCTTTCTGTCTTATTAAAGTATGTTTCAGCTTCACCATCATCACCATCATCTAAGCCACCAGTTTCCAATCATCACATATCCTCTGTTGCATCCTCCCTTCTCCAGCTCTCTCAATGGACCCTCACCAACTGCCACATCCTTGTGCTCAACGTCATCACTTATATTGTCAGTTCTCTTTAATTTTTTTAAGGTTTAAGAACTTATTTATGCCTGCAATCCAAAAGCTTCAATTTTGCATTTTTTATTTTTCAATAATGGAATCTGAAGATCTAGAAACTTCTAACAACTGTTTTACCCTATCTCATTTAGGGTTTTGGCATGTATATTTATATCATGAGAGAGTATAAGTATATTAACACATAACTAAATGTACAATTATTGACAACATATTCTAATACGCCCCCTCAAGTGATTGAGGAGAATTCCACAATAGCTTGTTCTAAATTGATGAAAAATTATGGAAGAAAGTCCCTTGGTAAATATATCAAGTAGTTGTAATTGAGAACGAACAAAAAGGACTTGAAGAAATACTTGCAAACAAGGTTTCAAACAAAGTGATAAGAGGTCTCTAGATGTTTTGTGAGAGCAAAAGAGATTGGATTGGCATCAAGTTGAGTAGCACTTATATTTTCAGAATATATAGAACAAGGTAGTCCAAAAGGAAATTCAACCTCATTCAATATATAAGAAATCCAAAATATATCTCGAAAAGCTATAGAAAGAGCCACATACTCTGCTTCTGTATTAGATTGAACAATAAAGACTTACTTTTTAGTACACCAAGAAATAAGATTGGAATCTAAGAAAACACAGTGACACATTGTAGAATGTCTAGTGTCTAGACAACTAGCCTAATCAGCATCAACATAGCATACCAGATTTGGTGTAGTGCAAGGAAGTAATCGAATACCACAATTGATAGTTTCTTTAAGATATCTTAAAATTTGTTTTACAGCCTAAAAGTGAACATCACGAGGCATATGCATAAATTGACAAACCTATTGCACAGCATAGGTAATGTCAGGTTTTGTAAAGGTAAGATATTGCAAACTCTAACAATGGTGTGATATTGTGATAGGTCTAAAAGTAAAGTTCCATCATATAGAAAAAGCTTCTTACCAACAGTTACTAGAGTAAAAGTAGGTTTACAGTTTTTCATACCCAAACGTAACGGTATAGATAATACGTACTTTTGTTTGTATCAACAACAAATGTTTTGGTGTACGATATGCCTTTATTCCAAGAAAATAATGAAGATCACTGAGATCTTTCATTGAAAATTGTAAAGAAAGTTATGAAATGAATAACACTTAATGAAGAACCAATGAGAATGATATCATCCACATAAAGTAAAAGTAATATTATGTCAGATGATGAATGCCATATGAACATAGAAGGATTTACTTGACTGCTTTTGAAACCAAAGGCATGAAGAGCATAACTAAATCTCTAAAAGCAAGCTCATGGAGCTTGGTGAAAATCATAAAAAGAGCGATGTAATTTACAAACATGATGAGAATGATTAGGGTCCACAAACCCTAGTGGTTATGCCGTATTAACTTCTTCATGCAACTTGCCATGTAAACATATTTTTTTGACATCTAATTGCCTGATGGACCATCCTCTACTAGAGAATAATTCGAATAGTAATGGCCTTAACAACAGGGCTAAAATACCTTTTAGTTGTGTGAAGCCTTTGGCCACTAATCTTGCTTTATACTACACAATCGTACCATCAGCTTGGTCTTTGATTTTATAAATCCAATGATAACTAATAACATTCATGGATGAATTACAAGGCATTAAAAATTAATTATTATTTTGTATCAAAGCATAATATTCATAATTCATAAATGAAATCCATTTTTCATCTCGACATACTTCTTTGAAAGATCTTGGTTCAAGAGATGGATTGTAGCAAGTAAAGAGTATGGTATTTTAAGCCTTTGAGTAACATATCAACTTCATCTAACCATAGGATGTTTGGTTCTAGAACCAAAAGAAGTGAAAAGCTCAGATGATGGTTGAACAAAGGGTGCCAACACAGTTGTATCAAGTTCAAAAATAGTTGTATTTAGGATAAAAGAATTTGGTAATGGTTTTGACACAATTGTAGTAAAAGGTATAGGTAGAGATATCTTAGAACTAATCTCAGGAGATGTAGAAGAGTCAATGGAATGAGAAAAAATCCCAAAGCTGTAGAACCAAAACATTCTGCAAAATGAAAGCAATTTTCATCAAAGATAACATGCAGTGAGATATAAACTCGACCATTAGAGAGGTCTAAACAATGATATCTTTGTAGACTGAACTATACCCCAAGAAGATACAATGAGTGAATTTTAAAGAAAGCTTATCGTTTCAATAAAGAACTAAATAAAGATAACAAGCATATCCAAAAACTCTAAAATGATTGTAGTCTGGCACAGAATTAAATAACACCTTAAAAGGAGAATGATTACCCAAAACTAATGTAGGAAGCCAATTGATAAGATAAGCAACTGTAAAAAATATCTCAAGCCAAAGAAATCGTGTAAGAAAGCTTGAAACAACAGAGTCAGGCCCATTTCCTCAATAAGTTTATGCTTTTGTTTTGTTAAACCATTATGTTTATAGATATGTGGATAAGAAATTTGAAGAGAAAACATGGTGATCAAAAAGATTTTTAAAATCACCCTTAACAAGCTCATTAGCTCCATCACATTAAAAAAATTTGATCTTATTGTCAACAATGATTTTCAACCATACTCTTAAAATTCTCAAAGCAAGTAACACTATCAGAACGACATTTCAATAAATAAAATTAAGTATAATGACTGAGATCATCCATAAAAATAATAAAATAGCAAAAATCAATAACAGTAGCAGTGGACGATGGATCCCAAAATCATAATAAATTAATTCAAGAACATTAAAAATTATCCTAGTAGATAAACCAAAAAGCAATTGTTTACTTTTTTTGTTTAATAAACTACACAAGTTAGGTTACAAAAATAAGAATCCATAGAACCAATAAACTTATTAGATTTTAATTGTGCTATAATCTTGCTAACTAGATATCTAAGTCATTGATGCCAAATTATTTTAGAAATTGAAAAAGAACTGCCACTAAATAAAGCTTGTTGGTCGCATTGCCTCACACCAATGAATCACTCCACATTTCATACAAGAATCACATAAAGGTTGCCTTTATCTAGAAGTACTTTTCCTGTGCAAAGATCCTTAAAAACTAAACCCTAAGAAAAACAATAGAAACTACAGTTATTGTCTTTGGGTAGTTTAACAATAGACAATAAATTTTTTGTTAATGCTAGAACAGATAGAATATTTTTTAATGCTAATTTTGTAGAACCAAGACATATAGCAGAATCACCAATACAAGTGATCATCACCAATAAAAACACATTTAATGCCATTATAAGGAGTGGACTGATGTACCAATGACGGATTAGAAGTCATGTGACTAGTAGCACCTGAATCTATTAGCCAGTAGGCATCATTGTCATTATTCATTGGAGCATTAAGTGGAGTATCATTTGAAGTATCAATAGAAAAATGAAAACCCGTAAAAGAATTGCTCAAACTATAATCAAATTTATTATAGCGGTATTGACATGTTACAGTAATATGGTTACATTGGTGACAAATCTAACACTTTATAGCACAATTTGCATGTTGAGAATGTGAAAAGTTTCTGTTATCTTAGTTATTTGATTAAAAATTTCGTTGAAGCATATGATTTAAGTGAGAAAAAAATCAAAAATCATGATGATCATACCTTTGCTTAATCTATCCAGTGCACCTAAAATCATGGCGAGGATTATTAAAGCGCTGACCTCAATTATTGAATTGCATCTTTGGTTGTTGATTGATGACATTTGCCTTGAAGCTCTATTTTTCTTTTGTGTTGGAGGTTTTTTTTTTATGACTAATGCTTACCTAAGGTGGATTATTGATGAGATCTTAGAACATTGAAGTTTTAAGTTTAGGTCTTATTATGTGTGAGTTTGATTCAACTTTATAGTAGATTTGTCTAGTTATATGATAGTTTGTTTAATTGATTTTTTAGTGATCTTTTATATATGGTTGTAATACTTGATTATGACTATATTTTTTCTTGTACTTATAATTTCATTAAAAAAAATTGGATTATTTGATTGTTAATTCTAGTGTGTGCATTTGTTTTCATTGCTAGATCTTGGAATTTTAAAGTTTTTTTTTTCAATTAGTATATCTTCAATTTTTTTTGGATTTGTGCACTTTGATTTAAAATTAATAATCTAAAACATGACATAATAACACAACATGAAAATAATA